CACAGCGGCGCAGCGCGGCAAGCGCGAGCGGTGCTGCCCAGTCCTTCCCAACGCTGGCACCAAAAATTCCCGGTACTAGAGGTGCCGTATGGGAGTTTTTCCTTCTGAGTATTGGCTTGTCTCTCGATTGCTAATGGGAATAAATAAAACTTACTATGAGTAGATAATATGAGGGAGGAAAAATTCAGGCAGAATAGTAAGAGAAATGTTCCTGACAGGTGCGATGTTGTTGTTGAAGGGTCTTCTAGAAAGCGTTTGAGGCTGTATTACATGGGAATCTTTCCTGTTGTCTGATACAGCTTAATTTTAAGTTTGATAAACGGGGAAAAAATTAACTTTTTCAGCATGGTTTTTGAAGTTAATTGCTACTTTTCATCTCTAACCTATGAATCTGCAATACAGAGTAGAGAATACAGATTGCACCTTGTTGGTGGAAATTTAACAATGAAGCGCTGTGCTTTAAACTACTGATTCACTGTGTTCGTAGAATAAAGGTTTTTTTCTGGGTCAAGCTATAAATTCTCTTAAAAGATATCTTCAGAGATCAGAAGCGCCTTGCTTGTCAGCTGACCATCCTGAAAGAACAATCTAGATGTCCTGAACAGTTCTGCAAGCACCGGGTGTCTGTAAAAGCTGCCGTCTAGGGAAACTCGGGGGAGCTTTCAGCTCAGGGCCGTATCTTTGCGATGGAGAATGTGTGCTAGATTCCTTTTAACTCTTCCTCCCCAACAGCTATTAGTGATTAGCCAGGTGTGCTGACTTCAAAGGGGACAAATATTTGCTGGGCTGAGACAGAAACCCCATTTGGGAGTTGATTTCCCTCAGGTGCTGTCTGATGTGCTTTATTAGATTTAAAATGAGAACAAGATACAGGAATAGAGCAAAGAAAACGTCCTGTTGATGCTCAAACTCACAGTCCTGTCCTGACCTACATTCTTTTTATGAGAACACTGAGTGGTATTTCGTTATTCATCACTTTTATATGTTTCTCTCATATCTCGATTTAATCTGCTTGTCTCTGTGAAGAGCCAGCGTGCTCTTGTTTAATCTGTGATGGTAATTACTGTCATTGCCTGGAGAAATAGCTGCTTGCGTTTTGCATCCAACAGAAGTAGTGACAGTTCTGAAAAGATACTGGGAACGTTTGCTTTATGAGGCCACTGGGCCATGTTTCAGCAGAACGTACAGAGGCGTTCTTGCAGAAACCGGTAAAAATAGCATGCCTTACCGTAGGCGGTTAAAATATTGCTTTCTGTATCTCAGAGGATTTTAATATGTTCTAATACCTCCTCTGTGCTGTTGGTGATCCGATTTTGGACTATGTATTTGTAGAAAAGCCTTACACTTAAATAGGTTTGCTTTTATTTGCGTAAGAAGAGTTGCATGCAAGACTTCTGACCTCTAATGGTCAGAAAGAGAAGTATCCTCTGATGGGGACAAAAAAACAGGTACTTTGTACAACTTGGATTGCAGCGTTCTAGATTTTGTCGTGATTACAAGCAAGCATGACCCAGGATACTTAAAAGGTGTAATGAGCCTGGTCCACCTTTATTTCCTCCTATAATGAGCTTGGCTCTCTACCCCAGATGACAGGAAAGGTTGTTTTTTATGGAGCTTATAGTGCGATCTTTGAAGTAACGTTGAGGAAAAAAAACATAATTTAAGAATTACTATATTTAAAATCTTTAGAGGGTGCAAATCTCACCTGAATTCCTTTAAAAGCTTGGTGAAGAAGTCTGTGTAGGAAGGAACAGAGAGACTGTAGGAGCTATACTGAAGTTTAACTGCACTCCACAGAAGTTCAGTAACTCCTATGTTTGTGATTATTCTGTGATTTTTTTTTTTTTAACCGCTACACACTGTTAAGTTTGATATCTGGAGCTGAGGAGAAAGAATCATTTTTAAGGTAAGAGGTGGTCTTTTGGGGTGAAACTGAGGGTGCTGTCTTTCCCATTGCAGGCAAAACGAGCAGTGCAGCGAGGAGCCACAGCAGTCATCTTTGATGTTTCTGAAAACCCAGATGCCATTGATCAGGTATGAAGAAAGGCCTAGTCTTATTATAGCCTCTGGGCTTGCTGTTCTTAGGGCTGCTGAGGTAAGACTTGAAAGCGTGCAGCGTCTCCCAGCACACCTACCTGAAGACACAGTGCTTCTGACCCTGGGTAACATGGTGCTGTGGTTTTTCTGTTGCTGTTTTGGAAGGCAAGAAGCAGTGGAGGCGTTGAGAATGTGGAAGAGGGAAGTTTGGGGGATGTTTTTTTTTTTCTTCTAGCCTGCTGCAAGAACAGAGAGTACAGGATTGGGACTGGGGTTTTGAGAAAGGACGGAGGCAGACTTTTGTGGCCTGTGATCTAGTTAAGGAAGTTCTCTTTGCCCAGCTCTGTGTACAAAACACTGTATGTTTGTTGGCCCTACCCAACTTGCGACTGATAGTAGTCACTAGAAGCAGCCACTGTCAAGCAACCGCTATTTTTGAGGTTGCAAAATGGCTCCCAAACCTTGTTCTAAACAAGATTCTTAAAAAAGTTCTAAACCTTTTTTTTCCCATAGCTGATGATTTCTGGGCTATGTCTTTGGTAGACAAGTAGTATATGTTTAGGTTAAAAAAAGCTGGCTTTAATTCTGAAACGAGCCTCTGCTGGACAAATGAATGCAGAACCTGTGCAACGGAGGCTTTGAGAACTGTGCTTTGCATCAAGGCTGCAGCCTTGATCTTCCAAACATTCTCAGGGATGTTTTTTTTCCCCTTTTGTACACAGAAAAATTATTTGCACAAAGCTGAAATCTGTGGGGGTTTTCCCCCACTGTTTTCTCTATGTTACGTTTTGCAGTTACTTTCAGCAGCTCTGCTCTGAACTTATGAAGCTGTGTTAGTGATTCTTACTCTTTTCCCTCTACCAGTAGCAGCTATCCTTCCTTGATTTGTGATAGAAACCTGGATGAGAACCTGGGTTAATGGATTAGTGCAGCAGCTGACAACGTAGGCTCTGTTAGAGGATGGAGGAGCAGCTTGTGCAAACATACATGAACAGGAGGTTGCTCAGGGCTTTATCCAGTCAGGTCTTGAAAGCCTTCAGCTACAGCTCTCTAGCTTTCATGCTCTAACCATAAGTGTTAGTTGTTTGGCTGCTTCTCATGCTGCTTTGGACGCTTGGCTTTCATGCGTTTTAATTCTCAGCTGAAGTCTTCAGACCCCTTGACACGAGGGGACGATAAGTAATCTGTCTTTAAAACAGGTATGATTTGGCACTCTGAGAAAGAGTCCAACAAGCCATGACTTCTTGGCAGTCATTCCTTCTAAGAAACAATAAAAAAACCAAGATGCTTAACTTTTTGTGCTAAGGTGCTTGAAAGTAAAACCTATTACTTCAAGTATTTTTTAAGGATTAAGGTTTGCACTAAATTGTCTTATTGCTTAAATCTCTAAAGAAAAAAGTGAAATCAGGTTAGCTCTGCCTGCCAAATGGGCTGAGAGATCTGCAAAGAGCTATCCCTGAAAAAGGTACTAATTCCACTTCACCCAATTTTAAAGTGTTTATTTAAGAGATTCTGAGACAGTCTGTGCATTGTGAGGCTTACTGCCATCTTCACACCTGAACTCTCCTTTGCTGACTGTTTTCAGAATCCAAGACTGCGGTACTGATGAAAATTGAAAACATGCCCTTTTTTTAACCTCTATCTTGGACTAGAATTGTGGAAAACAGTGGCAGATGGATAACAATGGAGGAAAAACTGACATGAGTTGATGTGAAGTATTCTTTGTTCCCATGGAAACATCCTAGCAGTGAGGGGAGCTCCTGCTTTAGGAAGCTCTCCCAGGTCTGCTTGTAACCAATCAGTGGAGCAGCTAAGGGAGAGTGCTCTGAAAGGGAGGACTGGAAGATTATAAAAGATGATCCTTCGTGCCAGCCATTAAACAGAAACATGAAGTACGACTAACCAGGAAGATTGTCCTTGGACAATTTGGTAGCAATATTGCTACCAAATGAAAGGGCTCTGAATGTTGAAGAATTAAGTGCAAGGCTTTATATACAGATTTTTTGTTTGATTTTGTTTTCCTATTGATCTGAATATCTTTTGCTGTAGACTAAGAATGAAGCTTCATTTTTAGAAGTTGCTCTGTGAAGTCTGATTTGTCTCTTGGTTTTACTTTCACATAGTTTGAAGAGGAGTAACGGTACGTAGAACATCAGGTTTAGCAAAAGTCTGGCAGCGTGCAAAAGCTACTGGGGAAGCAAATAAATTATTTCCTAGACAAAAAGTGTAGAGAGAGAGAGTATGGGTCTGGGAAGCTAGGGACAGTAATTGGATTTGGCCTTAGGCCAGCAGGCCTTGTAGAAGCGTAGGATCCCTGGGTTGGATTCTAGTACGTGAGCTAGCTTTTAGTTCTTCAGAAGACATCGCGCTCTCAGAGTAGTTTGATCTATTTTTCAGAAGCCCAATTAAATACTGGAAAGGTTCTCCTTTAAAGTCTCAATGAAATCTGCCACCGTTATCTGGACAGATTAAGTAGAGTACTTTGTAAGCGGAGGAGGGATAGACCAGCCAATTGGTAATTTCTACACATTTTAGCCATGCCTTAGCCAGTAGGTACAGAATCTCTGCCACATGCTACTCTTGTTTGACCTGCTCAAACTCCTGTCATTTCATTCCTTTTCCCTGTGCTATCTTCATCTGTTTGTCAGTGGATTGCTTATTTTGAATCAGTTAGCGTCTGCCTTAGGATTTATCTTTTGGTTCAGAATAGGCTGTTTGAATTTAGCGTACGTGTGCCATTTTGTAATAGAACAGTTCTCTTGTCTGGATCTTCCTCACTCTGGTACCTAGTTCAGCACACTGGTGGGATTGGTTGCCCAGAGAAGTTTTGTAGTCTCTATACTTGAAGGTTTTCAAGACCCGACTGGATAAAGCCCTGAGCAACCTGATTTGATCTCAGAGCTGACCTTTCTTTGAGCAGAAGGTTGGACTCCCGAGGTCCCTCGCAACCTGACTTATTCTTGGATTCCATGATCTGGCCTTTCAAAAGAGCTCAGCTGGACCTGGAAGGCAGTTCCAGGGCAAATTAAGCTATCTACCTGTGTGCCTTAGGCTTTTAGGCCTCCAAGTTGAAATCAGTAGCTCTAGTAAGTGCTACAACCTAAATATGAATTGAATTTGAATAAATTTGAATGAATTTGTGGAATTAAGCACCAGAAATTACAGACCTAAATAAATGGGCAAGGTACAATGAACCTAAGAGGTAGGAATTCACACTCTTGACGTGAGATTGTTCAGAAAGGCTAAGAAACCTGTATATAAATAATATAACTTTGAAGTTGAAATAACAAAAGGTTCAGAAAATTGTGAAGTTGCAAGGCTGATTTTTATTGTTTTCTTCATTATGGAGTTTAATTTATGACTGTATTAAAATGTGTACTGGCACATAATGCAGTTAAGTTAAAGCTACTGTTCAGAAGTAACATTTGGTTATACTCACGTTTTAGTTTTTGGTTAGTAAAAAAAAAAATCAAATAAAAAAATCAGGTTGATTCGAAAGTTAAATTCAGGTCTGAATGTGTGAACGCTTCAGTGAAGGGTTGTGCTAGAAAAGAACAACTGGTGCGTCAGTCATTTCCATCTTCATACTCCTTTCCTTTTCTTTCCTTTATCCAAAAGAGTTATTTGTCCTGAAACGTGCCTTTGAGTAGATTATTTCTTTGTTGTTCTAGCTGAACCAGGGCTCAGAAGACCCCTTGAAGAGACCGGTGGTATATGTGAAAGGTGCTGATGCTGTTAAGCTAATGAACATAGTTAACAAGCAGAAAGTGGCACGAGCAAGGATTCAGCATCGCGCCCCACGGGTGAGACTTTAAGAAACTTTATCTAGGTATTGCACATATTGCACTGCTGCTATTTCATGCAGTGCTTGTTAACTGCACTGATTGGGAAGATGTTGTTTGATGCATCCTCTGAGCACTAATAGATGTGAAATTCTGTTCTACTTTCTGAATAGAGTTAAGTAACTACGTTGGGCAAGTAACTACATCCTCAGCGTGACCCCTGATGTCTTTCATAAGGATCCTCTTTAATTTGTAAATGGTCAACTATTCTATGTAATAATTTTCCTTTTTCTTAAATAAATTAATTATTGCACGCTCCTGGGAGTTGATATTTTTAAGGTAATCTGCCCAGTGTTGACTAGTAATTCTTGCGTAGTGTTTTAAATATGGGTTAATTATTTGGTATCTGAAAATTATGTTTATGATACAAAGTAGTTTTTCTTTAGTTTCTTTCCCTTCAGGAACACTTCCTACATGTAGTTTACACGAGCAGAACAAACCTAAAGATCAGCCATTACCCAGTTTCCATTTCATTTTTGTTACATTGTTATGGAATTCTTTTGTTAAGCAATATGAAGTATGTGAGAAGTGGCAACTTGCTGAAGATTCAGAATTTGATTCTTGCTTCCATAGGTATGCAAGCGAACCAATGACCTATGACAATTTGTATTAGTGTGATTCACTTGGTGAAAAAATGATTGTTTTTTGTAGGATCAGTTCAGAGATGCTGTAAAACTGACATCCCGTGACTGGCAATCTCTGTAGGTCACTCAACTTTCAATAAAGTATGAACACCAGGTTTTGTCTCATAGAATCATAGTGAATGAGCAAGACAGTGTGCTTCGACTCTTGCCGTTGGCATTCTGTACATGTAAACTGATCACTGAGAGAGTAGAGAAGAGAAAGAAATAATAGATTTGAATATGATCTAAGGAGAGGAAAAATAATATTTTTGTTTTAATTTTTAAGCAACCCACCGAGTACTTTGATATGGGGATTTTCCTGGCCTTTTTTGTGGTGGTGTCTCTTGTTTGCCTCATTCTTCTTGTCAAGATCAAACTGAAACAGCGACGTAGTCAGGTAAGACCAGTAACGGTATATTCATCGAATGCTGAAAGTTAGCTGTCTCTTACTTTTTTCATAGAACTTGGTCACTACTTCTGAAATGCAGGACATTGATTTAGAATAACCATCTGTGTGGAGAAGCGTTCATCCATGGATGCAGAGCTTTTGAAAAGATTTGGAAATGTCTTTAGAGATCTGCATTGACCTGTGATGTCTGTTCAGTTAATTCTTGAAATGAAAGGGATATGCAAGCAGTGGATTTAGAAATGTCTTTGGAAAGGAAGAGTGTTTCTGGTTGTTCAGAGGTTGGTTATGAGTAGCAGCGGTGTGCTTTAAAAGAAGTCCAAACTCTTGCTGCTGTATTGTGGAAGGAATATCAGGGTTACAACTCTTTTCAGTAGAATGGCATCCTTTGATTCTTAATGGGAGAAGGTTGCAAGGTAAAAAGTTTGATTAGGAGTAATCCTAGATGAGATATTTTCAATTTTTCCTGTCAAGACATGAAAGGGAAAGCAAATAGAAGCTAATGGACCTTGTGGCGTGTAGTTGTAGGCTGTCCAGTATATATATACGTGTACACACATACATATATGTGTGTGTGTGTGTGTGTGTGTATAGATATACGTATAAAAGGAGTGCAAAGCACTGTAGATGCTTAGAGTTCTTCGCTTGCACATCTTGCACAGTAATCCAAGACATTATGGGCCAACAGTATGTCATAGGAGTGTTACAAAGGGAGATGATGTATTCTACAGTAAAGCAAAAACAATTCACTGTCTTCCTAAACTTCCATAGTTGATGTTCATAAACTAAATTTTGAGGAGAGAGGAGACTGAAATGATACAGCTAATTCAGTAACATTTCGTTTTACTTCTTGTCTGAAATACTGCCTCTGGTAATATGGTGGTAAAACTATAATGGGGCATTACAGTCAATATTGACAGATTAAAAAAAAGTTCCTCACCAAGTTCTGTACAATGCCCTAGATAGTTGCTGCCTATCAGTTGAACAATTGCAGCCTATCCCAACTGTGGGCACCTTTACCCTGTTTCAATTCAAATTAGCTCATCATTCTCACTCATGCAGGTGGTATACTTTCTTTTCATGAAGCTTCCGATCTAAATTCTAGTTAGCTTATTCTGTACTTAATTTATGAAATTGTGCATCGGTCTGAACCTGAGGCGATTTGGTGAGATGTGTTAATTTGATGTGGTGATGTGTCTCTGCTCCTACGATCCCTTATGCAGCAGTGTTGCCTTCTTTTTTTTCCATTTTTCTTTTCTTTTGTAGAATTCTATGAACAGGCTTGCAGTGCAAGCACTGGAAAAAATGGAAACCAGGAAGTTTAAGTCCAAAAGTAAGGGACACCGGGAAGGTAGCTGTGGAGCACTGGACACGCTCAGTAGCAGCTCTACCTCTGACTGTGCCATCTGTTTGGAGAAGTACATTGATGGGGAGGTAAAGGATAACTAGTTTCTTCAACCTGGCTGAGAGCATGGCTGAATTATTTATAGTACTGTGGCAAACAGCTGACTGTTGGGTACATTGTGTGTTGAGGCTGAGGGTTGCCAGACTGGTTGCATCGAGTAGCCTACTCAGAGACGGCCTCAACTGCGTTCTGCAGCTCCCAAAGGAAATCTCAAGGGCTTTTCCATGCTACAAAGTTAAGAGTTGAGGGATGTGATTTTGCAAGTTGATACCTCCTTCAAGTTCATTTTCTTAAGAAGTACTTATAAAGAAAGTCAGGGCTTCCTGAACATTTAGCGCTCTCATTATTTTTAACCAGTGCTGTGCTATCCAAGGTGATGGTGCATGCAAACTGTTGTGGACATAAGGGATACATTTTATGCTTTGCTTCTCAGGCTCTGATGGTACCTTTAAAATGTCAGGTACACAGCACTGCTGGGAAACCAGAGGAGGAGGAGACTCCAAAAGGTTCGGGAACAGCCTTTTCACTCCTCAGTTACTATCTCTGTGTTGATGTCAGAGTTTGCTTTCTTTGGCATGATGCAACCCAGAGGAAGCAAAGAAGGATATGAAATATAGAAAGTATGCCCCCTAGAAGAAAGATAGTCAACATTTACAGCTTTAAATTTCCATATAAAAATGATTTGAGGACATGTTCTTTTGAAGTGATTCTTAAAAGATTCATTCTTTTTCAGGCAATAGAAAATATCAGCTGTATCAATATCCGAGGGCTGCAAGCTCTGAGCAGAGAGTTAATGAAGCTGGCTGATCAGAAATTATTTAGAGGAGCAAGAATGAGGGCAAACAGAAATTTCAGAACGGTATAAAGCTGACCGGACAATAAATTTGTGCTTGAACTTCACTGTGAAGTGATGCACATAGAGAAGAACATGTGGTAGCTTCACATGTAAAAGGTGATGTGTTCTGAGCTGAGCATTACCATTCAGGAACAAGATCTTGAGGCTGTTGTAGGGACTTCTGTGAGAACAGTTCAGTGCTTTGTAGCAGTCAAAAAGACAAACTGGGTATTAGGAACGAGAGTGGTAAGTCTAGAGAACAGAACAGAAAACACAATTATGCCGCTTAGTAAGTTCAGGGTTGCTCTCTCATTGAATACTATGTGCACTTCTGATTGTGCTCTTGGCTGTGCTGAAACAGATGACATTTCTTCTTTCATATCACTGTTTTTGAGACTAGGAATTGATCTGTTTAGTAGCTAGGTGGAAAAAAAGGAATAAGCTGGGAGGATTCACTCCTTCGGAAGCAGCATTTTTTTCATGTCCCTCCTTCTGTTCCTGTAGGAGCTGCGTGTCATTCCTTGCACTCACCGATTTCACAAGAAATGTGTGGATCCGTGGCTACTGCAACATCATACCTGCCCTCACTGCCGCCATAACATTATAGGTAAGCGCTGACACTCGGTTGTGAGCGCAGATGCTCAGTTGTGGGGCCTATTTTGGACTTCACAGCTGACAAGATGAAACAGAAATTGTGCCAGTATGTAAATTTCCATAGAGCCCATAGTCTTCGTTGTAATGCAGCCCTAGAAATACAGTTATGGGTGGTAAGCTCTTTAAAATTGACTGCATGCCCTGAAAGAGCAGGTCGTTTCCGATTTTCCCTTGCTCTGGGCCCTGTGCCCTGCAGAGGGCAGCATTGGTCAGCCACTGAGCGGCAGCAGGACCGATAAACAGACCTGTGTGTTTTCTCTTGCTAAGCGTGAAGACAATGCAGAAATCTATTGATTTTGATTTCGTCCTTGTGTTTTAACTTGGAACGTGGCTTTTCTTACTTACTTTCTTCCTCTTCCATTTCCTATGGCTTGAAAGTGTTTTCTGTTAGTGCACATTTATGTAAAGTAACAGATAAGGTGCAAACTTAAGCCGTGATTCTGAGCCTTGCTCTTACACAGCATTCCCGATCCTGTAGGTTAAGTAGCAGTCTTTGCATGTAGAAGAACAGTATCTGTGGTCACTTCACTGCTATTTTTTTCCTAGCAAATACATTTGAGTGTTTCAGAAGCTTCCGGACAGAGGCAGTTGACTGACTTTGTTTTGTTTTGAGTTTTTTCTTTTTCTCTTTAACAAATTGATGTGTTTTTTTTAACTCTTGTTGTGCTCAAAATGTAACTAAATTTAAAACCAAATATCTGTCATCCCTACATAAAGTATTTTCCTTTTTCCGCCCTCCTGTCCTCACTTCTCCACCCTTATTTCTCCCATTTAGAACAGAAGAAGGGAAGTGCAGGTCCGGTCTGTCTGGAACCCACCAACCCAGCACGCAGCCGGCAGCAGAGGGTGATTCTGCCTGTACATTACCCAGGCCGAGTGCACAGAGCAAACCAGATTACAGCATATCCCACCCGGACAAGCATGGACCCTCACGGAAACCCTATCACGGTACTGACAGTTGACCGGCATGGTGAACAGAGCCTCTACCCAGCCCAGTCCTCAGCCTATATCCGAAGTTATCAGCCGATTCATTTGGACCATGCTTTAAACACACATCACTGTAGCCTGGAACATAGGGCTTACTCTCCGGCTCACACCTTCCGAAGACCCAAATTCAGTGGACGCAACTTTTCCAAAGCAGCATGCTTTCCCCAGTATGAGACCATGTATCAGCACTACTATTTCCAAGGCCTTAGTTACCCTGAGCAAGATGGACAGCCTCCAGCTGGCATTTCCTCCAAGGGTTCCTCCCGTGCCTTCCAGCCTGGTGGCAGCATGCTTTTCCCTCCTGTGGTACATGTAGTGCCCTCGTCCCGTTTGGAGAGTGGCAGTACCTCCAGCTTTAGCTGCTATCATGGTCATCGTTCAGTGTGCAGCGGATATTTGGCTGACTGCCCTGGGAGTGACAGCAGCAGCAGCAGTTCTGGTCAGTGCCACTGCTCCTCTAGTGATTCCATGGTTGACTGCACTGAGGTCAGCAACCAGGGGGTTTATGGGAGCTGCTCCACCTTCCGTAGCTCTTTGAGCAGTGACTATGACCCCTACATTTACCGCAGTAAGAGCCCTTGCCGAGCAGGTGAGGTTGGTGGTGCAAACAGGGGCGCAATTGTTCTCTTGGAGGGCCCCTGTCAGGATGAGCTTCCAGCTCACGGTCACAGTCTGGTGGGTGCTGACTGCCGGCCTGTGCCAGCTTCTTCCTCAGGGGACCAACTGTCTAATTGCAGCATGGATATGAACTATAGCAGTAATTCCTCACTAGAGCACAGGGATCCAAATGGCACTACCTCAGAGGGAGGACCTGAGGCCACTCCTGGTGCTGCCTTGGATGTTAAAAGGAACTGGAAGAATCCAGAGTTAGCAGGGCCACTTATGGAGCAAGCATGCGCATGCTGCTTTGAACTCCAGCACTCTGCCCTGGAGCCTAGCAATGGGGCCGCTGACTGTAGTGCACTCTTCCTTAGGTCTCCACTGTGGGGGGCATGTGGCCCGGGGATAGAGCCACAGTCAGGGAGTACGCAGGGCTTGTACAGTATTAACTCAGACCACTTGCATAGGACAGATGGGGTAAAATATGAGGGGTTGCCCTGCTGCTTCTATGAAGAGAAGCAGGTAGTCTGTAGTAGCAACAGTGGCAGTGGAGGCGGTGGCTGCTACACAGAAGACTATGCAGTGAATGTGCAGTACACGCTTCCTGATGACACCTTGCCAAGCTGCTATAAGGGTGTATGTGATCTGGGTCAGCGCATTCCCATCATTCCTGAAGACAGAGACTGTGAGCTGATCCTACCTACAGAGTGCCAAGGGACCTACACAGGAGGCTGTAGTTCCTGGGACGGGACACCTGAGCTAGATACTTACCTGCACTGCCAAGGTATAGGAGATGTACAGGATGAGAGGGAGGTGTGTTACGAGGCGTCGTCTTTCCTGCGGCAGAACTTCTCTCAGGAGGAGGAAGCCAGAATGCTCTTTCCCAGTCCCTCTTTGAACTCCCCGAAGCTGATGGTGACCACAACGGCCACAGGTAATGCGTGTGCTTTTTTTTGATTACTCGTTAACTTTCTGTGCTAGCATATCAAATGAAAGTTCGCTTCCAGCTGCCCTGTGTGCACCCATATAGGTTACTGCCATCCTTTACATAAGAGCAGGTTACTGGCTAATCCTCTACACAAGAGTGTTACTTTATTCTCTTGTTACCATTGCTCCTTAGGTTACAGCTGGATGGATAGGTGGTGGTAGTTTACTGCCTAACCCTGTTCAGAGCTTTCATACTCATCCTTTCGGGGGGTGGGGAGGAGAGGGGGAAAGGTGGCTGCTAGTACCAGGCTCCTATAAAAGCTCTCACAGCCAGGGACACTGAAACAGTCTTTGCAGCCATGGTGAGTGGAACGAATGGAAAGTGCCAGAGTAGGCAAGGCCAGAGTGCTGGGAAAGCACTGACAAGCTGGAGGATAAAATTAGAATGAAGAACTTGAGATTGCTGTAGAAGAATATGTGGGAAGATCTCCTGACATGGGCTTACATAGGTAGAAAAACAATCACTTACAGAAGGAATGAGGTATTCCGTACCTGCCTTGCCAGTTTTTTTTTATAGGGTGTTCATAGGATACCTCAAATTTGAAGAGACCTCAGAAGGTCATCTAGTCCAACCTCCTGCTCAAAGTTGGGCTAGCTCTGAGATCAGACCAGGTCACTCAGGGCTTTATCTAGTCGGGTCTTGACAACCTCTGAGGATGTAGACTGCACAGCCTCTCTGGGCCCCTGTTCCAGTGCTCGACTGTCCTCATGGTGAAAAGATTTTCCATGTATCCAGTCTGAACATCCCTTGTTTCAATTTATGCGTATTGCCTCTAAGCCACCTTGCACCAAAGAGCATGGTTCCTTCTCCTTGACAGCCTCCACGCAGGTACTGGAAGGCTGCTATGCGATCTCCCCTACAGCCTTCTCATCTCCAGGCTGAACAAGCCCCATTCCCTCAATGTATTCTTATAGGGCAAGTGCTCCAGCCCTCTGAGCATCTTGGTGGCTCTCTGCTGAACTCACTCCAGTTGATCAATGTCTTTCATGTACCGAGGGGGTCCCAAAACTGGATGCAGTATTCTAGATGCAGCATTCCTTAGTTTTAACCAGTAACGTTCTTCTTTTGTCCTTCAGGTGCTGGATCTCATCCCTTGGAGAGAAGCCAGATCAGTGACTAGATCTGTCCAGACTGCCACAGATGGAGAAGCGGAGCTTATCAGAGACTCCAAATTCTCTTGGACTTCAAAATCTTTTAAGCTTTGACAAACACAAAAGTGGTAATGTGGAGAAGTCCCTCCCCCACTTTCTGTTCCTCTACGTCCACATCAGCCTGATTGTCTCTCCTTTCTCCCTCTTGCCTGAAGCCTTCAGGCCTCCATTGGTGTGCAAAGCCCATGTGGGGCATGGTGTAGAGCATCTCTGAGCTCTAGTGCCATATCTATATTAATGACAAAGTGTTATTTATATTTTCTTTTTAGAAGTGACCGTGTTAGCTCTTGCTGAGAGGTAACACGGTGTATTAAATAAGCCAGGCTATGTGTAGATGCTGTTATCTCCTACTTAAAGGAGTACAGCCTTTGATAAGCTCAGGGCTACACCTGCCTTAGAAACCAGATAGCACCTTGAAGTAAAGTAGTCCAGAGGGATACAGCTGCTGAACAGATGCTCAGATACTGACTATTCCTAGTAGCAAATCCTAGTAGCCAGCAAGTTATATGAGAGATTTGGAGGGAGATGAAGCATTGAACTGTCTCCTTCCTTCCCCACCTCCACCAACCTCCTTTCATGCTGCTCTGATGATTTGGCTAGGAAGGGTCTCCTGCCATTATGATTAGTTTTAACAGAGTGGGGGTAGGGAAACTGGTAGCTCGGAATGTTCTCATTCCCACTTTCTGCTAAAGCATGGTCCTCACTGTACCTTCTGATGGGTGAAGGATGCTGGGGACCCCTCAAACGGATACTAGAAAGAAATGCTTAGAAAGGGTAATAGCTTTGTACATAATGAATCTTGCCTTCCATAGGGCAAGATTTTCAGGCGCTCGTAGCCCCTGTTAGGGTTGTTCCCTGTTGAGAAATGCTGGCATATGCAGGAAAACAGAGCTTGCAGGGGGCCTATGGTTTGCCTGGCTCTTTTTGGAAACAGGTCAGATGGTGCCTTGTTTCCACACAGACTGCAAGCATGCCTAATGAGACTAGTGCTTTTCACCTGTTGTGCATGTGGGAAAGTGAGGACTTGCTTTAGTCATTGTTTTCTTTGCTGTGGTTGATGTAGCTTCCATAGATCAATCTGTTTTAAAGGTTTCTTGGGCCCAGCCAGTTGCGCTTCATTTGTGACTTGTGTACAGAGTGCTTTCTGTACCCCATTAGTCTGGGCACATACTTCTTTTCTTGTTCTTGTACTAGTGGGGATGTTTGTTATCATGAGATAATGTACGTCGTCACTTCTGATAGCAATTGTTTCCTGTGGAAACAGCGGCTTCTGAGTAAGAGGCTACCATAGCATGGTTTAAATTGCCTGTCATGCTGCATGTGCCTGAGGACACAGTGTCATCCTGTATTAGTTAATACCCACAGTGTCAGTCTTATGAAAAGATTTTTCCAAAGTTCAGCACACTTTGTTTTGGTAGAAAACGTAATGGGAAGTAGACATCTCTTCTTAATATCTTTTAAATATCTTCAATGTCCTTGATAGGACGTTGTGAGACTAATTGTGAGAACCAGAAAAGTTATTTTGTTTGCTTTATAGTCCCAAATGAAATACTTCAGAAGAAGCAAACACCTAAGAAATAACGAAAAAAACCCTGCTTCCTTTTACATTCAGTACTCGGTAGCTAAGAGAAAAATAAAACTATTTAAAGGAAACCACATTAGAACTCTCTAAATTAATTACCACCTCAGCTGTTCAGAGAATTAATGCAAAATAATATCTGGGTAATAAAATTAAAAGAAAAATTACAATAAACACATTTTCTGTGTATAAACCTAGAGAAAAACTATTCATTCTCTTAATGACTGTAGTAAGTGGGAGAATAAACTCTAAAGGATTGGGTTTTTATTGTAGTCTTGCCTTACTCCTCCCTCCCCTCAAAGGAAATGCATTGTAGAAGCTACGGTATGTTAGCTTGGTTATCCTATTTGGTGTATTGTGAGGCATTGTCTAAGGCCACAAAGATGCATTGTACTCTATAAGTACACAGCATGTTGTGGTAAAATGTGGTTATAAAAAACTTATTTGAATGTTCTGGCTTATAGTTTTCCTGGACATACCAGTCTCATTCACATGTCATGGAAATCTCTGCCAGTACAATAATCTCTACAGGCCTTACTATAAAAATACCCTACACTTGGTTTCTATGTTTGGTTTTATATTCAACGTTTAGTTAATTCTCTGTTGCCTATATGTCTGTACAGACTTATAGGCCAGCTGGCCATGATAGATGTTTTTATAACAAAATGCCTTTCTACTACTTATATGAACAGTTGTCATTGTGTTTGGCTCATGAGGCACTATTTAAAATGTTTTTAATTAAAGTTATCTTATAGCACTTAAAATTGTTTTGTATAAAATTTGCTGTAAAATTTGTAATATGGTCAAAGGGCTCTTTCTCCTTCATTACCATTTTTTAAAATGTTTTAAAAGCTAGAAAACATCCTGTATATATTCTGTATATGTATAGCAGCACATTTCATTTATGGAATATGTTCTCAGAATATTTATTTACTAATATATTTATCTTAAGCCATGTCCTATGTTGAGAGTGTGTGACATTATTGTAATAATCATTGAAAATCACTAACACGAGGCCCTGTAAATACATGATAATTGCACACAAAGATTTTACAGTACTTGCCGACCAAAAATGATTTAAGAAAAGTTGTAGTTACCTGCAGTTTTGTAAGAAAGTGTACAAATGTCTGTAAAAAAAAAAAAAAAAAAAAGCAAAAACACACAAAAATACAGTTTTATTGCATAAACACGTGGAAGTTGTCCTTCTTGTTGGTGGGGAAAGGACACAGATAGCTGTGTTTCTCAACGTACAGTCTTAGATGCACTGAAATGAACTGTCATCAACAACAATCACTTTTGTAAAAAAAACAAACAAACATATCTATACATGTACACACACATACAGATCCTAGCAAAAATGATTGTGATAGAAAGTTTAGAAATGTTCTTTCTGGAGCCAACCCCTAATGTTCTGTCTCAGGACCATTCAATATTCAGGCAACTAATTCCTTTAAAATTCACTTTTCACAACATCCACAGGGAGTGAGTTACCAGCAAATAAATATTAAAATACAAAGATCTATACATAAGTAAAAAATTGGACATTAGCTAGCTTTTTCACCCTAACCTGTTCCTTACCTTTTCATACCTCACTTTGAATATATTGGGCTTGGGCAATTTTTGCCCAAGAGAGGCTCTGTCGTTAGAGCAAATGTGTCACATTTGGGTATCAAACAGAAATTATTTTTTGCCCTGGTATATTATGCTTAGGGTGAAGCCAGCACTTGAAAATTTTAGCTGCCTTCCTAATACTGTCCCCAGTAGTCTTACCCAGTTATTTGAGGCTGCCTGTCGCTTCAGGGTCCCTACTCTCACCTCTCACAGGCAAATATTCCTGTTGAGGAGGAGGAAGTTAGATATTTTCACTGCAAGAAAACAAAAATTAAGTTGGGACGGCAAAGAAGATGCAGGGTAGAAGAGGAAAAGAGAAGGGTTGGGAAAGTGGTGCACAAAAGATTATGCTGTGGAAAAGGTGAAGAGCTCTGCCAGGCAAAACAGGGAAGGAAAAGAGGTGGTGTTGAGACTGCAGTGTGTCAGTCCATAACAAGTAGGACAACACGTGAGTCTTTGCATAGTATGCAAGCCATTTAAAGGAGGGTCTTTTAAGCCCCTGAGGTTTCACTCAAGCGCATACCTGCTTAGGTAGCTGTTGGAAGGCATCCTCATGTATGTTTGGAGCCTGCATGTTGCTGGTAGCAGGGGAACTGATTTCTGCTTTAATTTCAGCTAAAAATAAGTTTATTGTCCTTTACTAAAACTGTTTCAAAACCTGAGCCAGCGTGATGCAGATGGACATAAATGGAGGATTCATGCTGCGTAGTCAAGCTGGACCCAAGTCTTTAGCCTGGATGATGAAATCCCTAGTCTCACTGAAGTTAAAATCAGTGTTGTGCTACTCTCTTTTTGTTAGCAGAGTTCATAATTTGACCAGAGATGTTCATGAAGGCTAGAGAGCAAAAGAGAGTGGCTTGGAGATATGTGGTGGCTAGTGGATTGCTACCTGTGTGTGAGTATGTGTAGGTATGTACATATAAATGTAATATATGTTACTGCTTAAATAGCTTGTCTGCAAATGTTACTTATTTCCCATCCAGTGATACAGGAAAAAGAAATCCCTTGCAGTCTCCTTCTCCAGGTTTTTCCTTTTCCTGAACTTTTTTACTTGGTAATCTCCCTGGATTTTTTTAATCCCTCTCTTATCCAAACCTCTTCCAGTGCACTGCAATTCAATCACCTCTCAGAATTCATCCAAGATATCCACCTTCCTTCCCTTCGACCACGTGTTTTGTATGGGAAAACTCCATGTTTGGGATGTCAGGCTATTGTGCTGAAGAGTGTCATTTTGAATGGGACTCTTTCTAGCATGGGGATCACTTAGCATCCTCCTGTCAGGTGCTGTGGGGAAGCTTGGTCTGTATGAGAAGACAGCTACAGTAATGGAAGAGCAACTAGCAGGAAGGAGTTAACCAGCACTGGCAGGTAACATATGCTTCCCAGTCATTGTATGCTTCGATTTTTACTTCAAGAACAGAATCTTGACAATTGCTGATGTTTATAGTGAAATGCATCTTATTTGCAAATTAGTTCATTAGGCAAGTACTCTTTAAAAAAAAAACTCATGAAACTTAGGGTATATGTGTTTGGCTGCTATGCCTGTGTCGACAAGTCAATTATGAATGTCTTTCCTCTTTTACCTGTCTGCCCCCTAGAATTTATTATTGATGAATAATGTTTTTTTATTTCTTGTGAAGAAAACCATGAGATTGATCATGAAGAGGATTGTGCTTTTAGGAACACATGCCTTTACCCTTGCTGAGCTACAAAACAGTCGGTGAACACCTGCTCTTGTCTCTAGGCGAAAGATAGTTGTGGGCTGTTGGCTGAGCTATAGTTAGCTTGCCTGAACTTAAATGCAGCACTTATTTGGGTGGGGGGTGGGCGGGTTCTGTCTCTTTTTTGCTGTATTTTTTTAATGACTAAATTTAAACATTTGTTGTCCAAACCTGAGTATTTTGATACTCTGTGGGGATACCTTTCATTGCTGAGGTTCAATATTTAAGGAATAACTTGGTGGCAAAATGAAAGTCTTGTGGGCGTCATAAATCCACATGAAACCTTCATGTTGTAAAACAAGAAGAGCAAGAGCAGAATCTTCTTAATGAGAGAGCACCTTGTGTAAAACTTGGTGTTTTTGTACACTATCTCTTTTTTGCTGCAGCTATAGCAGGTGCATCTGTCAAATCCTTTTACTGCTGTTAGAAAATACTGGTTGTTAGCTCAGTTTTGCATAGCTGCATCTGCAGAACTCAGTGCTCAGCGTTTGAGAGTTTTCTTTATGCCTACAGGCCCCTTGCAGTTTGTTTGGTAGTGTCAAGGGAAAAGTGTCTTTTAAAGACAGCTGTATTCATCCTGTGTGGAGTCAGCTTGGCCTAAGTCTTTGTCCAGGGAGACAACAGAATGCCTGAAACAAGATACTTTATCTGGAAGTAGAAGCTCTGTGCTTCTGGGCCTTAAACGCTTCATAGAAAAGTGCCTCTTTCAGAGTAAAGAATACATTTCCCCTTTGGGGAATAAATCTGGTGCTTAGGAAACAAAAAACAAGCAAAAAAAAAGCAACAGCTCCCAGAATAGACAGAGGCATGAGAGGAGTCTCATAACCCGAATGGCAAGAAAGGAGAGCAAAGAGGAAAGATCCCCCCGTGTAAGAGGAGGCCAATACCTGTTGGCCAGTATTGTTTCTAAAGGAAAATGAGAAAAAAGAAATGAAAAGCTGGAAGCAGTTTCAGTATCTGACACTGGTATTCAGACATTTACATAAACACAGTCAAAGATTTCAGTGAGCGTAGCATTATTTTGGTCAGAAGGAAGAATTACTGAAAGAAGAGAGGAAGCTCACAAGTGGAAACAGCTTTACCTCTGGCTAGTAACGTGGTTGTGTTGCAGCTTGTAGAGAAAACTCTGGAGCAATTGTTACAGCTGGTTCTGATAGATGATGAAGCTGCCTGAACTCTAAGCTAAAAAGCCAAATACTTTATAAGCTGAAGAGTTCAATTAGCCATTACCTCAGAAAATGCTTTTCAGAGTGATTTTTACATATGTAATGATTCTCAGCATTTTCAGCCCAAACTTTCTCTCTTAACCTCCACAGAAAACAATCCTTCTGTGATCTGTTGGTGAACCTGCAGCAGTTTCTACCTCCATCATGCAATATTCTGCTACCCTTTAGTAGTGTTAACTGAGCTCCTCCTGCAGAAATTCACAACATTGAATTTTTTTTGTAATTATTACTTACAGCCATTTGCTGAACGCAGGATGGCCACAGATAGACACAGCACATATTTCATTGGTGAGTCATTTCAAGTTCGATGTGTTCTGTTTTCTTGTCAATCTTGTTTGGTTCATGCGATATCCTTTGGATTTACGTAAATTGTCTTGAGACTGAAATTCAAAATGCCAGATTGCATCCCAAAACACAGTTGCTCAGTAAAGTTGAGAAAGTATGATTCAGGGAGGGTATCATAGAAAAATGGCACAATCTTAAGGCAATATATTTTCATTCTCAGAATCTCAAGGTAGCAGAATGATGAGCTTACTCAAAAATATTTAAATTAATATTCAAATGAAACCATATCATGGGAATATATAGCATGGGAAGCAATATAATTGCTGCAAGTGTATTAAGAACTAGTTGGACAAGTATTTGTTAGAAACTGTGTTTTTCGGAGTTGACCCTGTCTTGAGACAAAGTGGTGTACTAGAAAATATGCTGGGAGTCCTTTCCACTGCCTGAGAAGTTTTGTTAAGCAGAAGATGAAACTGGAATCGCTAGTCATTCGCGTTCAGAGGCAGCCAAGTGTCCGCTGGTGTGTTTTGCCTGTAGTCATACAGGATGCAGATTCAGTACAGACATTGTTTCCAGGACTATCAGTAAAAATCACCCATTTAAGAATCTCCCTATTGCCAAATTAGCTTGGAACACAGTGACTATAATTCTGCAAGGCTGTTGGGTTGTCTGGATGAGCAATGTGATAAAGTCACGTTAGCTAGCTATAGAAAATCTGGCAGAAACTAGCCCTAAGATGATGATGTTAATGCTTGATTGAAAAAGGAGATGAAGTGTTTGAAGTTATGAAGGTCTTGAGGGTAATGCATATGCACATGAATTTATGGAATTTGACAAACAGCCTAATACTATGGCAAGCTGGAAATGAGATTCAAAGGAAGAATTTGTATCTTGAGCAATCATTCTGCTATCCCTATCTATTCTGCCACAAAACTGTGAGTTTGAGTGTTCAGTGTTCTTCTGTCACCTATATACCAATGAATTATCTTTAAATGTTTCTATTTACAGTGTATGGAACATTTATTTTTCCCAAAATATAAGCTAGCAGCTTGTCTTCCTATGAAATGTTAGCAAGATATAGGCATAATGTATGAAATAGTGCATTTCCTATACACATATAAATATATATTACTATAGATAACATCACACTTACATTTTAAAATAACACCCTTTCTATTTTCCCCCCAATATTACCATATTAAGACAAAAGTACATATAAAATCATTTAGTCAACAAACTAAGTCTTAGAAGTAGTATTTAGAATTTAGGGAGGCCACTGTCAGCTGGCTCCCTGTCACCTGAGATCCAAATGCTCTGCAGACTACTGTCCCTGACCTGCTGCAGAAAGCAAGGGGGCGGTTCCACAACGTTGCTTTGGTGGCAGTGTCAGCGGAAGGCATCGCTGCCCCTGCTTCTGGCTCAGCACACCTCTCTTTCCTATGGCCTATTGTCCCCTGAGTTATGGTAGCTCACCCGTCTGTGCAGCCACCCATGAACAACATCAGAGAATTAATCTATGTTAAAAGTAACTCAGGGAAGAAAAAGCGATGGCAATTTTGTTAACCTCATCAGTTTATCCTCCTGCCGCAAGCGGGCCATACCGGTGCAACAGGGCAAGGAAGAGGCCAGCACAGGGGCTGCAATGTGTGCGTGTGGGGAGGCGGCTGTTCCTGAGGGTTTTGTTCTCACGACAGTTGCTTTTGAAATTGTGGCCAATGTCACATTTGCAGCCTGTCCAGCCCCTTGAGGGAGCTGCTAGGTAGGAGGCCAGAAGGTCGTGTAGTTAAAATTCCAAACAAAACACTGTGCTGCAGTTATTTTTGATGTGTTGAAGCAGATGCCATAAGCGCTAGCGCAATCGCATCTCCAGCGGTGCGCTCTCCAGCTGTCAGAACTCAGCTGCCAGCGCTGCATCATGCGAGATTACGGCAGACGTGTATGCTGAGCTTTTCCCTTTTCTCTCCTGAACCCTTATAGCAAGATCATAACGTGCTGTGCTAATGGATACCGTATATGTTGGACAAATACCACTGAAGCGTTTGCACTGGGATTGCAAGTGACCATCCCACATTTTGAAAAAATCCACTGCAGATCTACATGCTGTCTATGATCTCAAGCCTGTAAGTGAGAAGTGCTATTTAGGTACTCTGTTTTCTGTCTGTTCCTCTATTTCCCGGTATTAGAAGAAGTATCCAAATCAGACAATCTGAAAGATTTTGGGGACTATAACAATTTCTCCTCCTTTTTTAGTGCATTTACCTATGTTTTGGCCAATACTTTATCCTTAGTCACGTTCACTGTTGTTGTGGCCAGCTGATAGGCTATAACAATGAGTCTTTCATACAGAAATTGGATAATTATTCCCTGAAAGAGATCCAGGAAATGTGATTTTATTATTTTAAAGAATAGCTGAAGTGCTAACAGACAGATGCAATCCCAGTTTCTAAATTCTCTAGATTTTAAATTTTATATTAGTAGCAGTCTTTCTTTTTCCTATGTAATAGGCTTTCTCTAATTTAAAAATAAAATCTTTAATGAAGAAGAGAAGGTTGACAGTGCTGCCTCTTTTCTGTCTGCAACAGGTAGAGAAAAGTTGTGGGTTGCTCCTGATGTTTTCCAGTTTAGCAGCATTAGTTAACTGCTTTATGAATTTCACTTTGACTTTAGATGTTTAACTGCTCAAGAACATTTGATAAGGCAAGAAAATGAAGTTTCTCCATGATGTGCTCATAACTTATCTGTTCAGGACCTAGCTTTACTCTCTGCTGCTCTCCCCTTAGGTTAGCTGGTTTGTTCTCCTTTTGGGGGACCATATTAAGCATGGATAGGTAGCAAATTCGTTTGTTTTGCTACAGACCTGCGAAGAGGAATCTTTCGCTACACAGCGTGATGCGAACGCTGAGTATTAAAATGGGAATTTTAGAATTGTTGTTGATTCTGGAAAAAGTCCAACCTATTGACACTGAAGAGAGAACCAATATATTTTACAAATCTTCTCCCTCTCTTGATTTTTGGACGTACTGTAATTATCTTTCCCTGTAATCTTTCTAGGACGTTTATGCAAGAACATACTAGATGTCCCCATGAAATTGCCTTTTTGATAGAAACAATTCTGTAATTGCTGGCTTAGTAAAGTCTTGTTTATACTAAGCGCTTTTTTTGAAATTGTTCAGCTGTCTCTGGCACTCACCAGTGGTACATAAATGGAGCTAGGCTGAATTCAGTTCAGGTAAAAGACTAGAACTACAGTGGCAACTGAGGCACAATGTTATATTGTTTAGCTCTTAGATGCCCTATTTCTCAAGGAACTTGATAGCCAGAGGGGCAGGGGGAGGAGGGACATGTCAAAAACAGCAGTGCAGATGCTTGCTATAATGATTTTAAACTCAGTAACAATTTTCTTACTTTTCTTAGTTATCTTTTGCAGATCCATTTAATAGTTACTCTCAGACCACAGGTCCGGTGTACTGACCATCGGTTTATGTTGAAACTGGTGTTTAGTCCTTTCCTCTTAGCTAGAATTACCGTACTTTAAGGGCTCTCACTGAATTTCTTCTGATCTAGCTTAAGGAGCTGCTTGCTTAGTAAACTTTTTCAATCCATTTATTTAACTGTGCTGTTTTGTCAGTTTCTTCTAACCATTGCTGATCTGGACTTATTGAGGCTGAAAGACTCACTGCTGATGCCCACCAGTCAGCTCAGATGCTTGAGCGTTGTAGGTGAACAGGTAGTCCACCAAAGAGAAAAAATAGTTAGTGCTGTTAGCTGGAGAGCAAAGAGAAATTATTTCACAGACCAGATCCTCACTGATACTTTAGTTCTGCGACAATTAAGGGCATTATTCTTAAAAATGCAATTCAGTTTTAGTTGTGCAGGCAGGGAAACACTTTTTCTCCTCACAGGCAAGGATCAAGGCAACCACGTTGCCTGGTTTTCAGTGACAAGATTCTCCCGACTGGATGCACAGCCTGGCAGAATGAGCTGTCGATGGCAGCCTACCACCACTGTGTGAACAGCTGAGAAAGCTAAGAAAGCCTTGCTGGTACTAAAGACTCTTTGCTGAGACACACGTTTTCCTTCTGCTTTTCTTTGAAGTCGCAGCACTGAAGAAGCGATCTAAGGTGATGGCTGCAGGGTTGAGTGTTTTAAAACAGAAAGAAACTATGACTTTCTGCAAATTTGAGAGGAGCAGCAGCAGCCTGGCAGAGGGACTCTGGCAAAGACCTCCTAACCAGTACCAAATCTATCATCTTTTCAGCTGCAATGGGAACAGTGCTAAGAGCAGCCTGTGCAGCATGCACCTGAGACCGTAGAAGGACACACTGAATTTTGGATTGCAATATCCCCAACAACAAACTGTTAGTGGGATGCTACACAGGTAGTAGTAGCTACGTGAGAACACAATATTTCATTGGCTACTGTAAATAACAAGAGAAGTAAAGGCTGTTGCCAAATCTATTGTTCCGGGACTAGGAATCCTGTTCATAAAACACTTCTTGCTGTCTTTCTTAATGTCTTTCTAAATCTTACATTCCCTTTCCTGTTCCCCTTTTTTATTGCTAATCACATCTAGCAGAAGAGTTACTCCCGTGGATCACATTCTGAATTCAGTAGAGGAGTCTAGTGCCTGTTTGGATGTGGAAGACAAAAACATATTATCAGTAGTAGGGTGGGACAGCCTGCAGATCCTGTCTAAGTTATGTTCATCTTTTCTATAGACCTTTCAAAAACTGTGAAGGCAGCTCCTGAAAGACATTTCTACCAATCAGCTTAATTGCAAACAGGATAAAGAGTAATCTTGATTGCCATCAGCTAGCTTGCTGCAAAATTATATAGCCTTGCTCAGATTAAAGCACAATTCTCAGTTTGTTTTGGATGAGGTTTAGTATAATTGTCCTGGAGGCAATTTTGGGACTCTTATCTTTTATATCAGACCTGAGAATAATGAAGAATTGTTGAGAGTCTGTAACAAAATAGTATAGGCTCACAGGGACAGCAAGCGTCTGCTGATGCATTTCCAAAGGTTCCAGAAGAAAAGCTATTGTGCAATACTGCTGAGTCTAAAAAAAAGCTATGATAGTATTACCCCATCCTCTGGATCAAAGAGCTTGAGAAGGAACTTTTTTTGCTCATGATACAATTGGTAATTCTATTCAAACTGCCTTCCACCTAAAATATCGGCTACCTCCCCCCCGCCACACACACACTTTCTTTTTTCTTTGGAATCTGATGCATTTATTGATTTTTGTCTGACTTGGCTGTTGCTTGTCCCTTGCAGTTATTTTCCTCTCTTATTGTCTGATTTGAGCTTTGCTTTGATTATTTGCATTACATACTCACTGGACGCACAGCCCAACTGTTCCACCAATTTCTTGTGTGGTTCGGTAGGCTAGAATGTGTAGACAAGGCAGCCCGAGCTAGCTGAGGCTGAATATGCCACAAGTCTGCTTTACAAGGGCTGGGAAGTATGCGATGCACTTTAGACATGTTGATAGAGTCATAAGAGAAGCAGATGTGGAAGCTGAATGTATGCAGGAGTCTCCTGTATAGGAAAGTCTGAGTCTGATGTCTAGACGCAAGATATAGGAGCACAAATGGGGATGAAGCACTGAGTTATGGAATCTATTGTTTGTTTTTTTCAGCTACTCTTACCACAGAAACAGCATTTTTTTAAATGACAAAAATTATAAGGCCTACGTAATTCTTTGTTTTCTTAACTAGATTTTCAAAAAAGCAGACTTTGTTCTCTCTCAGATATCCCAGTGAGGAAATTAAACATGAGATGTGCGCATAACTTTTATGCATGTAGGAGATTAGATTTTTCTTTCTCTGACAGATTTCCATTTGCTCATCCAGCAAGCTGCAAAGCACTTTCAGTTTTGCATCCTTTCTTTCTTGATAGCAGCTCACCATGTGTGTGCAACCATGCACACTACAGTTCAAGGTCTGGGCAGGTCAAGTGATCACATAGTTCTCTCATAGTTCACAGCCCTTCAAGACAGTATGCAAAATAAACATGCTCATGTAAGCATTCAGCTCTTTTTTTGGTCTGTGGTATTTAACTCCTTTTCAAAAGACTCTTATTCATGTTGTGGTCTTCTGAGAAACCTACATGCTATTCTGACATTTGTGATTTTTTAGCTTTATACTGCCTGTTTGTGTCATGTGGACAGTGTTATGCTATGAAGTCATTCAATAACTATTGCAAACCTACAATGCCATCTTCTCTGAAGGGACCGATATCAACGATAGCTTTAACCTCAGGGTAAGAGTTTGTGACAGTCAGCCTCATTATTTCAGTGGGTTTACATTTTCCTTGAAAAATTCTTTAAAAAGCTCTATGCTCACATCTGGAATGAATGCAGGATTTCAGACCAGAGTAAGATAGTTTCCGAAAGGATCACTCAGGAATATGAAAATATTATCATAGCTATAGTGAATCTGATAGCTCAGACATACTTGTTTAAAACTTTTCATTGCTCATGCAGACCTTGAGCCAGTGAGCATTACTCCGTGGAAACTCACGCTGGCAGCTGAAACTCTGTAGAGCCTTTACCTCCTGACTTTGATCTGATTTTTGTTTGTGTATCTGCTTGTAAAAGCAGAACATCTAGAAATAGCAGAACACTGGCAACCAGGCTGATAACTTCTCAAAGTCTTTGATTGCCATTTCACTGTGCAGTACTGTTTAGACATATTTACATAAAGGCCAAGTAAGCTCTTGTTGCTCTGGCAGCTGAACGGATATCAATATCTACCTCTGTGTTCAACTTTGGGGCTAAAATGGCCTGATATTACAGAGCAATACAGGAATGCAAAAGTCCCCAGCCTACAAATACGCATTCAATTACTTTTGGCAGGTGTGCAGGTTTTTTTTGAATTTTAGAGATTTTTTACATGTATTTTAAGTGCATTGGTTTAACGGTAGTAATTAACAGCACAACAGATTTGATGAGCACCAGATACTTCAGAATTATTGCAGCAGTTAATTCTGCTGTCACTAGTATATGCAAGAGAACAACAGATAGGAAAAGTCATTCAGAGACCTTTGGAAATTGAGTTTTTGGAAGACAAGTATGAGATTGAGAGGGGAAAAAAAAAGGGGGAATTATTCCCAAATCACCTGGATTTTAAGAAGCTTAATCTTGAAAAATGAAAGACAATTCAATTTCCCACTAGTGGATTGCGATCATCTTGTTGACTTCGAAGCTTTTTCTTGAAGATGGATATGGAGGTGGAAGGTTCATAAAAAATACTCCAGATCTCGGCAGCAGTAGCAACCTGGTGGGAATCTTCTCTTTCAGTGGCAGATCGTGTCTGATGGGATCTAGAAAACAAGTGTTATTTCACTAAAAGCGTAAAGGTGCTTGGGAAGCTGCTATTATTAGTATGTCTGTGTCACTACCATTATGGTAATGCCAGCTAGTCCTACTAAATCTATGACACCTTTTTTTATACCTTCTGCACAGTTATGTAGGTTTTAGGAGTGCTTATTGGTTGTCTTTTAACCACATGAAAAATCAGGTATACTGTTGCCAGAATAGTTGCTGCCTGGACAGAAGCAGTAACATTAAGCTAGGAAGTCTGTACATATTCTATCACCAATTACTATTAATATAAATTAATTTTCTTGTATATTTAAGCTACTTGGTGGTGAGTAAGCACAACATTTAACGTTTGTGATTTGTTCATAACTCTCCCATGATTTCGTTCCATGAGTGTCCATCTAGAGGACACAAGAATAACTTGGTATGAGTGTAGAAAAAAGACTATAATGAAATCATCTTGCTTTAATAGGCTAAAAATATTATGCTGGTTAAATGTTGTGCCATAATACAGATTTTTCAAGTCCACAGAATCATTTCTGTGTTTCCTTTTTGAAGCACTTTTTCAATGCTTCCATAAAAGAAAGTGAACATTAAATAGCTTATTATTTTCTAATGTTTTCTAGCATGAGGTTTTAATTCTTTTTTTTACGAAATATTAACATAATTTGACCTCTTTCCATGTATGCTAAGTGGCTGATTATTTTTTTCTCTTTGCTTTATGACATTACTCAGTACGAGAATCCTTTTTATTTCTTGAAGTTCAAATCTTGTCAAAACAAGAACAAAGAGATATTCCAGTAGCATATGCTATCCTAACAGACTGGGAAGTTAAAGAAAATGTGCTTATTTTATATCTTTTTTGAGGATGCATATATGCAGTATATAACTTGGCTTTGAATATGGCCAATATGGGAGTATCGGAAGGCATGAAAAGGAAGTGTACCCGTATTGGTACAGAGCTGAGATGTCAATTCTTAAGGGACAGTTTTGTTCCATACTCACTTCATGGTAATGTGGAGAAATATCTTTGCCAATATGGCCGTAACACTTAGGATGAGGAGTGCTGTGAGACCGTATATTGTCCACTCTGTGGAAAACAAAAGAAAGAATGGGAGGTCTCCTAGCACATTCATTTATTTACAAATTTTAAAGTAAGAATATTACAAAAAAGCAACACGTAGCCTTCTGATGCTTTATTCCAAACTGTAATTTCAAGACATCTTAAACCTTTAGCAAATAACTGGCAAAAACTGTACAACTCTCAGCCAGGACCATTTGTGCCATGCAGTACTGCTTGCTGTAAAATTCAAAGCTGGGAAAACGCAAAGCACATATCAAGAAAACTATCTAAATAGTGTCTAAGAAAGGAATTGAAGCTCATTCCTAGAGAACTTTAAAAGTAAACTAGACAACATGCTAGAACATATGCTGGCAGTGGTAACTGTACATCTGCAAGGAGATGGCCTATCTTTATGTAAGTAATCATGTAAGTAATCACCAAGTATTTTGGTTTTTTCCTCCCTTTCTAGAGTCTATGGAGACTTGTGATCTGTCTTTGCGTTCTGTTATTTCATTACCTTTCACTAAAGGCTCTTGGGCATTGTATTTTGCGTTCCAAATTACTTCTCTTTTTGAACCAGCATCTCAAACAAGACTTAAAGAAGAGCTTGAAACATCACAATATTTCAACTATTTACAATAATGGGGGGAGAGGAGCAGCTGATTTCTGAATGATTAGTTCACTTCTACATTGAGATTTCCACAACCAGGCCATGAGAGGCTAGAGCATGTTAAGATGGGAAAGAGAAGGGATTAGAATGCAACTCTGACATACTTAGCTTCCTGAAGAACCTTGCAAGGCTCTTTAATTATTAGCACAACCGAGTATGGGCTGTCACCTTCAGCAGTCCTGAATCTCAAAAGAGCAATAAGAGAGTAAGGTCCACCCCCCCCGACAAGCCTCTTCTTCAATGCAAAGATTGTTTGTGATGATTTAACAGTGTTTTCATACAGTCTAAAATCCAAAGGAGCATTTTCATCTCATGTAGGTATGCCCAAAATAGCTTAACAGCAGGCGACTTAAGTGTAGCTGTGGTAACTTGGGTTCCAGCCTGGGCCAAGTGCCGGCATATCTACCCAGCGTCCTGGGCATGTTCTGTTACCCATGCGTAAATGTAGGAATACCAGAGGTTATACTCTTTAGCAGCAAATAATTTAGCTGGTTTGGGTAAACGCAGCTGATGTCCAGTCATACCCTTGGACTTTAGGTTTGGAATACAGACATAATACTTCAGGACTACAGAACTGTTAAGAGTGTCTATACTGAGACTGAGGTCTAGCTCCAACAGTACTGAAAAGCAGATGCCCAGGAATGTTTACGGATAGGACAAACCAGTTATGATATTTTTCAAGAGTGTATTTCCAGTCTCCAATTATTTGCAACTCAGCAATTTCCTGAATGAAGTGATGTCCTGATGGTGAGTTCTAGATACATGATAGTTCTCAGTGGCATTCTTCCCCCGACATTAACTTGCTTCATCCTTCATCTAGCCTTTTTTGTATTACTACTGTAGATATGCTACAGAAATGCTGCGTACAGCATTTAAGCTACTTTAAGACTCTTTTCAGAAGCCTTCACCGCCTCTACAGGATGTGCTGGTCACTGAAGCAAATAATGCTGGTTATGGTACTCTGACTTGCCATTGGATTTTACTACTCAAACAAAGCAAAAAAACCAAAGTAAATACAACATATTCTGATGTGCTTTCATTCTCAAAGACTCATCATTTGACACCATTTTTAACTGATTTTAGGGTGAAAAGTGAGTTTTGAAGAGTAGCGGCATAACTAGCTATAGTCAGACTAACTGAAAACTCATCTCCTGGCACCTATTCATAAGAGTAACAGTGGATCAGATAAAGTGAGGGAGCAGTAAGAGGGAACAATGACTCTAGATTTTTTTTTTTCCTATTTCCACATTCCCTTCTAATATTACCAGGCATGGAGCTGCTAAGATGACTTGGGCTGGTTGTGATGACATAAAGTATCTTTGATGACCGGGCTGCATTGATGCTGAGATTTGCTTGTTCATTTATCTTCTCCGAAAGGGTCTGATTCATTGGAATCTTGTTTTGATGCACATTGTCCTTGACAGCTGCAAACACAACAATGTGAGTATATTAACAACTTCTTAACAGCTAAAATTGGGCTTATTTTGTTTTGTGTTTATAACACTTGTGCTTTTCTCTGGTTTACTTTGAGAAGTTCAATAATCTAATTACATCTCCTGCCAGAAAAATCCTTTACTTCACCAAGATGGGGTTCTCAGAGGATTTTCATGGAGGCTAATTTTTCGCAATACCAGCAGGTACAGCTGAAGAGCTAAAAAGTTTTCTCCTGATGACTTTCTGGCTGCATGGAATAGACTATTGGAAAGAGCTGAGATGAACCAAAGATGTAGGTGGACTGCTAGGGTTTTTCTGTTTCAACTTTCCTATTTGCCAACCTATCCTGACAGGCATGGAGTAGGATTGGCTTTCAGAAAATTTAAAGTTTGCTAGTTTATAACATAGTTGACTGGAATATTCAAAATTGAGAGACGTTTTAGCAGAAGCTTTTACCATGAACAGTGGCAATAAGATAGAAGAAAAAATTGTAGACATCTGAGTTAAAATATGTGCTCTTTTTTGTCACATCAGAAATCGCCTGTGGGGATTAAAGGCTTTAACAGCGCATTGAAAGGTAGAAACAGCAAAGTTAGCCTCTTACCTCTATATCTGATGGCAAAACCCTGGGCTTGATTGATTTGGTCTGAGAAAAAGTATAATATGACAAAATCCAAAGAGATGTTAAAGGAGTGGGGAGGCCGGTTACTGCCATTAAAACGAGCTAGAACATGATAGGTGTAGCCATCCAACAATTCCACCATATCTGTAGCATCTTTGATTTCAAAAAGGGCAAAACTGAAGTGGATCTGAGATGCTCCTGGAACTTGTATGGTCCAGTAACAGACTCTGCCTGTACCATATGTGTCAGGAAAATCTGGGGAGTAGATCACAGCGGTAGCAGAAGTATAATTCCCTCCACAGGCACCAATAAGCGCTATGAAAAGAAGAGGGGAAGGAAAAAAAATGAAAAAAAAGAGAAACTGGTGCAAGCTATACATGCATTATGCACAACTTTTGCACTCTGTAGATTCTTAGACTCAAATGTGACTTTAAGGCACAGACTTGCTATCTCAGGAGGACCCACTGTCTCTCAGACTGGTGTTATTTACCTTCCATAACACTGGGAGCAGAGCTATTATGCTGCGTTTCGTCTGGGGTACGTGCATTTTGTCTCATCAGTCTGAGAACTAAGTATCAATCTGGAATGCTGCTGCTATCTTTTGTCTTTGTATACAACTGTGAACTCCTTTTCTCACTCAACCCCACTCCCCCCCCCACTCCAGCCCTTCAGAACTGGGATCAACAGCTAAATCACTGCTTCACTGACTTCTATTCCAACCTTCCCAGGTGGGTAGGCAAGTGGAATAGTAACTGTAGCTCTCACTGCCACATTATTTAAATTGCTTACCAATGTTATTGGATTAAAGAAAAAAGTCTAGTCTACCCGCCCCACCCTGCCCCCCCGCTCAAGCAGGCTCAGCTCTAGAGCAGGCTGCCCAGGACCATGTCCAGTTGGGTTTTGAATATCTCCAAGGATGGAGACTCCACAGCCTCCTTGGGCAACCTGTTCCAGTGGTTGACCCTCCTCACCATAAAAAAGTGTTTTTGCTTATGTTTAAATGGAATTTCCTGTATTTCAGTTGCCCATATCTTCTTCTCCTGTCACTGGATACCACTGAGAAGAGTCTTTCTACATCTTCTTTACACCCTCCCATCAGGTATTTATGCACACTGATAAGATCCCCCTTCTCTTCTCAAGCCTTCTCTTCTGAAGGCTAAACAATCCCATCTTTCTTAGCTTCTCCTTGTATGATAGGTGCTCTAATCCCTTAATCAACTTTGTGGCTGTTTACATATGCTTTTTAAGTATCCTGTGGTCTGATCTTGTTTTGGCTATTAAAGATCATATCAGATCACAGCAATAACTGTAAAAGCTTTTCTCTAGACTGCATAACAGGCATTTTTTTCAAGTTACATAGTGAAGATAAGGTCAAACATTAATTGGACAAGTACACTCACAGTGAATCTTTATATTCTTTGACAACTATCCAGATTCCTAGTGCAAACTTAATGATCAATGAATCCAGAGAAAAATTGCCAGCTAACTGATTCTCTCTCTCTCGCTCTCTCTATTTAAATCATATATTGTATATATGTATACATGCATATATATGTATTTTCTATATGTGTATTTATACACATCTCACACACACACATATATATATTATATAAGAATTTATTTCATGGAAAAACTATTTTAATCAGAAGTATCACTCCCCCATATCATGGGCCGAAGGACAGAAGACTCAAAGTAGAATTTTTTTCTTTCTGAAATGTTTGTAATGTTGGGGGGAAGGAAGGGAGGAACAGTCCTGCAACCTTCCCCCCAGTTACTCCTGAAGAGTAGGAGTATAATTGTAAATGCAGTGACTTATGTATGCAAAATACATAAATCCTACACTGCCTTCTCTTCGTCCCCTTTACTCTCCTACTGAAGCTATCTGGCTGCATTTTCTGCCTTTTAAAACCTCTACAATCCAAATCAAAGTGGACTACTAGTTTGTAGTAGGTCTGTCATTGGCAGGAGAAAGGAAAATATTTGGAATGTTTCTTATCCTCTTCAGTGGAGGCCTGTGAGAGCACTCAGGTCAAATTAAAATAATGGAAGTGAAATTTTTTGGTTTTCACAGGCCTCTGAGAAAGAATTTTAACATGAATTAAAAGGTAGCTGTGGGAAAGAGAAAAAGAACTAAATGTCTGCCAGAAAATAATGTGAAAATACTTCTCTTTTTTTCTGGAGAAAGGCCTGATCATAGCCGCAAACCTTACACTTCAGTCTTGCGCTACGGAAGACCCCACAGAGGAACTGAAAGAATATGAAAGAACTGAAGGGATGAGAAAGACTCCATAGAGGTGCTATGCCCAACAGAAGCATTTGTTTGGTGTTTACTCCATGCTAACAGAATGCATGATTTAACTGAAATAATAGAATTCAAATTCGGCACTGAGATATAAAGTTTGATCTCTTATCAGTATTTTCACATTTGGCTGTGCTGTTTGAAATTACTGCATTGTAAGATGTTCTTTGAACCAGCGATACTAAGAATGCCAATGACCAGTGCTCCACAGCTGCCTAACAAAATATAGCATCTCCCCATGTGGAATGGGAGTGCTTTCCCTTTATCAGTTCCTTCCAGACCTGGAAGACTCCTGTGTTGTGGATCTGAATGTTATAGCTTTAGGCGATGTTAGTGATTCATACATGCATAGTTTAATAATCTATGTGTAAAAAAACCCTGAATTCACTTTGATGCCTGTCACTGCCTTTACTGTCCTCATCTCCTCCCCACATCTGTATGTCACTGAGGCTCATAGGGCCCCATGCAGGGGAAGAAGGAGAAGGGATGGGATATTATTGTGTCTGGAGAGGACTTTGAAGTGACAGTCACTGTAGACTGTTGTCGACTGAAGCGATGCTGGGCTTAGGGGTGGTTCTGTGAGTACTAGGATGATGCTGGAAGCTAAGGAAACTGAAGGAAACAGGCAGTGGGGACTGTAGTCATGAACGAGATCATGAATAATGGTTCTGGGGATATGAGATATTCGGTAGGTGAGAAGACAATGACCCTGGAGAAGAGAAATGGGGTGAGCAGGTGTTGCTCACCAGCAAAGCAAAATAGGTGGCAGTTACTGGGATGACCTCCCTTACCTGGCCACAATTCTCTCCTTTGCTGCTTGCCAGAAAAGACAGTGAAGGTGCTCAGAGTAATGTCTTGCTGAGCCCTCAGTCATATCGGAGAAGGAAAGGTATAAAGAAGCCTTTACCCATCAGGGATTCGGGAGGCCACGAGCAGAAGGAAACAGAGAATACTGCAGTATGCGTCTACATGCTATTGCAATATTGAAAGCAATATGCAACTGCAATGCTTCTTTTGATCTCTCAGGGAGAAGTTGGAAATGAATGAGCAAAATGGCTAACTCCTGCCTCAACTTGAAATGCCTTTCTGTCTCACTGCTTGGAAACCAGAGTGTTAGAGTAAGGCGATAGGAGGCTTAGGTGTGTGTTCAGAAGCTGGAGTATGATACCTGTTTTAATCTCAGAAAGTTTACAGTTTCACTCTAAAGGTAGCTTCTACATCAGAGGCAGTTAAGATCAGAGAATCAGTGACATATCAGTACCTACTGTGGACTTATCTAGTACCCTGGCTATACTGGAAGCCTGTACTGCGGCCAGGCATTAGGGTACTCATACCCTCAATATGTGAAGTGACACAGCTGGCACTGGTACGTAGACTGAAAAGAAGCATAGAAGTGAGGAGTTCTGTGTCTAAGAAATTATAAAACCAGTGATGGTCCTGCCAGCCACCTAACTGTACGCCCTGCTGCTCTCCCAGTTCTAGTGCATTGCTTTGTGTTGTGTATCTGGCTTTTGGCAATTCTCACCTCGTTTAATTAAAAAAAAAAAAATAGTGTTTTCACACAATGAGTTTGGCATAGGATGAAATTTTAGTTGAAGTGCCTCACTTAACTGTATACGTATGCTCTGGTAAGATCATTTCTGAAGGAGCCTTTCCATGACATGCTGTTTGTGAGGGCTGAATTAGCACTGTTTGTGGGAAAGTAAGATATAATCTCTGGAGCATGAGTCAGTTGCCTGAGCAGACATCCTTCTCTGGAAGAGCTATTTCGCACTAATAATGGCTATGAATTATATGCAGAAGTGGAATGCAGCTTCCTTTTGTACTGATTTTAGGTGTCTTGCTGTTTTGTGTGCAACAGTTCTCATAGCTTTTAAAACCTTTCCCCTAATTTGTTGAACACTTGAGGCCTATCCTTTGGGAAAAACTCAGCCCATTTCAATACTTACTGTCAAAAAGAATGACTCTGCCATCCCCACCACAAGGCTGAGTATGGTCTCCAAAGCAAACACTGTTGCATTCCGTACTGGCTGCCTCCCCGTATCTCCAGTAGTCAGGATTATTTCCACAGAAACAGGCATAACCTGATTCCATGCCTGCAAACTTTGACAACAAAGATGCATAAGGAAGGGAGGGATAATATTTTAAGGAGCAACAGAAGTAGATTGCATGAGCAAGAAAGCTGGCAGCAGAACTTGTGTTCTTTGGAGAAATATAATTAGCTGGATTTCCACTATGAATTGTGTATTTGAGCTGTTAGGATGCTACTTAAGGCGAGTGAGAAAGCTGGGATGGACGGCAGTTAGGGCACCCCATCACTCCTCACTGCAGTAAGCAAACATAGTGTCTTTTGGCGGACAAATTATTGGGACGGAGGGAGTTGCCCAAATTGATCTGGATGCAGAGAGGGAGCTTCCTGCAGTGGGAGTGAGACATTAGATTTTCTGGACTTCCTGAAGAAAAAAAAAAGTAGAGAAAAAAGAAGTAGAAAAAAAAAAAAGAAATATGACAGAGGATTCCAAGCATATTGTCATCTTTGAAAAGATTTTGTGAATGGATATCAAAGAAATCACCTTGAATTGCTGACGTCGGCAGGAACTGATGCACGTTTGGATGGTAAGTTTATTGGAGGTCTCGCTGGTGCCAGTCAAAGGTGGAGGCTCTCCATGGTCCTTGTAACACCCTAGATTCCCTGGCACTGGCAAGAATAACAGAGAACAGTCATTCTGAAGATGCACCTAGAAACACCCAAGACACAGACTACTTTATATACCATCTCCTTACTGAGTAGCTCTCTATACATTCTAGTATTGTTGTCTCAGTAAGAGAAATGTTACTCTGCTAGATCCCTGTCATTTTTTCCAAATATGGCCAGGGATAGGTGACAGCTGGTGAAATAGCATCACCTCATCTTAACAATATACCGCCAGTACTCTGTAACTGATTTCTGTATGCTGTAGTACTACAGACAATATAAATGCCTGATTCATCTCTCCTGACAGGACTAGTTTTTAAAAAAAAAAAAAAAGTCAGTAAGTGAGTTCAGAGCTTCTGTAGGTGGGGTGTTGGGTTCTTTTTTGTGGTGGTGGTGGGTTTTGGGTTTTTTTGATGAAGAGAAGTGCGTCTTCTAACAATGTGACTATGTTGAAGACTGTGATTTTTGTTAGACCTTCAAAACGGCGAAGTTCTTGAAAGGCTTCTAAAGAGGATAGTTGAGGAAGAGAACCTAAATTGTTTTAGGAGGGAGCTTGGTAAGTTTTATAGGAGGGAGTATATTTAAATAGGATAATTCCATAAGCGTGAGAACAAAAATTCTAAAATGAAATCTAAGTATCACAGTTTATGGTATATACAAAGAGTTTCAAAAGGAGCTATATTGCTTTTAAAAAAAAAAAACCCCACATTTATATTACATTAATGCAATGTTTCAAGGCTCCTCTGGTTACTGTGGGAGGTCAGAAAGAAATCTGTCCTCCGTAAATATATAATTTGTCTCCCGTTTTTGTTTTCTTTTGTTTTTTGCACTTTCCATCATTACACTGGAATTTCACCATAACTACCAGAAACAGGATGTGGGGTAGAATACACTGCTGTGCTAATGGCATAAAATTATCCTTTATGTATAATTGGCATGTCTGCGCACATACTTTTGGATTTAAATCTATCACCAGCTCTGTGGTCAGGTGGGAATTTTTCCCCATGCCAAGTTGACAAGGATTATTATTGTCCACCTAACCTCCACGCCTCTGTGTGATGCAGTCCTAGAACCATATGAGAGTTTTACTCACTCAGTCATCTTTCATTTCGCTACTCAGTGCACTGATGATGCCTTTGAACTCTCTCTTTGTCTTGTGGCACAGCGCAATTTCGTCTTTTTGACTTACTGATAGTTTTTTTGGGGAAATGTTTTGCAATCTCTGATGTCTGATGCTAGCATGTGGATTAGATGTTTTGTGGCTCCTTTTGAACTAGTCATCTCTTGCACAGGTGCTGCCTCTGAGGAAGATTGGACCTGATGAGCTATGTGGCCCTTTTCTCTGTCAGATAACCTGTGTGTTAGTAAACTGACTACTTCTGTATTATTGTGCTTTCACATAAATATAATAGGACTGTAATGCTTGTTTTTGTAAAGAGCAGTCTTGTACAGCAGTCATGCAAGCATCTTACTGGGTTCTGGAAGTCCCAGTTCTAGAGCTTTTTATACACATCCACCTGTAGCAGGAATTGAAATAATGACCTCAGTTCAGAAACTTTTTTTTGTCTAATTCTAACAAAGATGGTCTCTTTCCTTTTCTTTTGGAGTACCACATACTGAGCAAGTAATTGATGCCAGCTTGGTGGTAAAATCTGAATTATCTTGACATCTGGAACAGTAACAGCTCTATCTGAGAACCTGGTCCCAGACTTAGGCTATGTTGAGTGCAACAGCTTCTTAATTTTGAGGAAGTGGGCTAGCATAGCTATTGGTGACCAGCAAATATACCGGAGCAAATATTCATAAGGAGGTGGATTATAACATTACAGAGAAGAATTAAGGAAATAATGTACCAGGGAAGAAAAGTCAAAGTTGTGTGTTTTTTTTGTTTTTTTTTTTGAATAGCTAGATAATGTTGCTGCAAATATTCATCAAATAACTATGTTTTTGAAGAATGATACAATTTCAACTGGAAATGCTTGCATGGAGCTCTGATATGCCTTGCAGCAATATGCTTGTAAGTACTTAGATCTCAGGTTACAGTCTAATTTAACATACTGTTGGGAATTTTCATTTGGAGCCCCACCCCAGCTGAGTACAGCTGGGCAGATAACTCTCAGAGAGCTCAGTTTTCTGTACAGGGCATGACTGCATTGCCCAGCAAACGCTTCCTAGATACCAGCCTAGCTCATTTTACCCAGGAGACTCAGGATTTCCTAAAACCACATATTAAAGCTTTTTTTTTTTTTTAAACAACTTTATTGGTGAGACCCTTCAAGTCTATCTCCAGAGGATTAATCCTTTAATACATTCCATGCTAAGAAATCAGACTCAGTCATTTGAAAACGTCTTACATTTTGTAACTAAATCAAGCATACCATTTGCGTAACATCCTAAAGTTAGTGAGTCTCTTCAGCGTCCCAGGGGTATTCCAACTTTCTCATAGCTAGCAAACAGAAATAGCGTCATGGGATTTGGAATAAGTATTTGTTCATGGAGAAGCTTAAATCTAGCCCAAGACTAAAAAGCAATTTTCAAGCAAATGCTTGATTCTTCAAGTTGCTTTGGTATCAAATCAACAAAACTACATGAGCCCATAAACATGCTCAGCTAAAAGTAGTCCCATATCAAATATATGATTAAATGCTCTTCTGAACTGGGACAGCACTTAATAAATTGAATCCTCTATATGCAGACATGATTCTGATATGTCAGTTCTTCCTACGGCTACTGACGGGATGGTCACAGACCTGAGACATTACTGAATTGCCACTGTATGGTAATCAGAATACTCAGTAAAAACATAATAACAGAGAGGAAATTATTTGTATGCTGAACTGAGGAAGAAGGTCTAATCTGGTTAAACATTGCTTTCACATCAGATCCACAGGAATAAAAAATATTATTTATTGACAATATTTTTAGTATATTAGAAAAATGCATTCTTTGTTCATATTATATTAAACTGAATCATGATGTATGCACAGGGAGCCACTCAACATAAATCTAAAACAAGACAGTGTACATTTATGTATGCAGAGCAATTTCTGCAGAAAAGGCCCTGTGGGTCCTGGTAGACAGGGAGCTGAACATGAGCTAGCAGCGTGCCTGGCAGCGAAGGCCAACGGCATCTTGGGCTGCGTTAAGAGGAACTGCAGCCTGACACTGCAGGGAAGTGCCTTTACTCCTAAGGTACCTTCCAACCTGGACTATCCTCTTTTTCTGTGTGTAAATAAGCAAATAAATAAGTATGTGCATATATCTATATAAAAATATATATGAAATTTTGAAAGCAATGGAGAATTTATACTATTTCTAGATAGATAGGGACAGTTTAATTATCCTGGCCTTTAAAAATTTCCAGTGTAATATTTTGCCTTAATTTGGTCTTAGTGTTTAGCCTACTAAAAGAGCTTGACAGAAATGAGGTAGTCCATATGCTGTGATTACTGTTCATTCTGACCAGGGCTGTCTTAATGTTACGTTGTCGTCTCTTGTCTGTCTCTATTTGTTCTCTTGTGTTTAAAAGTCACCTCTTTTCACGCAAGCCTACTGTTTTCCTTTTACATCTGACACGTTGTCATCTGACACAAGGAGGGCCTGACAAACACCAGAGCTCCTGGATACTCAGTGTTAAGGCATAATTACTAAAACTTATGGAATTCATCCCTTTGAGCTGAGAACTGTGCTCCGGCTATGCTCATCTGATTATTGATGAAGAGCCTCTTAGCCTTTTGCAGCAATAATATACGCCAGCCTACTCCTGAAGTTGTGTGAGTTACCCGCTGTTAAGATGTTTACAAGTCCACCTTCCTGCGTGACCAATACAGCTCTGCACAATTGACCTGGCTCCACCATTTGTCACTTCATCCATAATCCAGTCAAATTTGGTATATACACACACAGAGGAAATACGCTTTTAGTAGTGAAATCATTTTGTGGTAATAGAATCATACGGGCCACGTTCTAGATTCTCTATGTGAGATGCACACATCTTCTCAGGCCTCACAGCTGGCTTTTTGCCTTTCATGTTGTTTACGTCCATTCCAGCCATCTTAGAAGACAAGCCACTAACAAGAGGAGATGAAGGCAAAGACGGACTAAGCTCCTACTGGCATAGCTACCATGATCTTTTGTGATTATGACCATCTATCCTCATTTAACATTGCTAACACGTTAAATGCAACATGTTTACAAATGCAGAATACCAGAAGGCTTTTCTAAATGAAATATTTACTGTTAAGCATGAATATTAGTGAACTTGAGACATGATACAATTACTGCTTATGAAAACTTCTAAACAGTAGAGTCTTAATTATTGTTACAGTGAACCATTATACACAAATCTCTCCGGGCAATTAAGAAGCTTCATGTTGTCAGCATTGTTCTGGAATTATGTGAGCATAGCTGGTTTATAGTTAAATTATCCTCCAGATACATGTCTTTTCTAGTACTAAATATAATGATGTGAAAGCAGCTTGTATGAGACAATTTTTTTTTACTTCTCTAAAAATTTCAAATTTCTTTACACAATTACTTTCCTGGTCCATCATAAAACCTAGTTTTGTATTATGCACTTCACAAGTTGCATTTTGGTGGTCCTGTGATTTATCATCAGGCTTACTGAAAACAGAAAATCTGGTAAAGAATAAAAGTTTTTCTGACTTACACAGCTGCATAAGGCATGAGGTTTGTATTAAGACTTGGAGGGGGCTTGCAATGTACAGTTTGTTCTAAATTGCTGTAATTCCTTTTTCTAGTATCCAGTTTCAGTGCAATGCTTGAAGCAGCTGCTACTGGTCAAAAGGACATTTTGTAAATGTAAGTCTGGATTATCTGTGCAAATAAGTGTCCAAGTTTAAATCTTCTATTCCTCACCACAGAGAAAATGAGCAAGACTGGTTTTGAAAGGATTCTTTGTGCAGAGCAACTAGAGTGGAGAGAATTTGCCTTCCAACATTTTTATTGTTGCCAAATCCAGATAATTTGTTAGCATGTGTGGACTTAAAGAAAATGCAAATTCTTGAAATTTAGACCAAGATAAATTTCTTAATTAGTAGGACGCTATTTCTTGTAGTAGGACCTGATATCTTAGAAAAGAAAGAGTAAGATGCAATCTGAACAATAAGCATTGCTTAAGTATTACATTTTATGGTGTTTTTTTTTTTTTTAATTAAACACCTTCATCTGCATTTAGGGCTAGGTAGAAGTCATCTGACAAACCATTACGTTTATGTATTTGTTTGCCTGCCTTGCAGATGTGAATCGCTCACATTCGTTTTAAAAAAAAGAAAACTGTGGACAAAGCCTAAATCACCCTTTTTGCTTTGTTTGGCTTTGTTTTCTTAACCTTAAGTAAGAAGTGTACTTCTTCAACTCAAAAGTATGTATAAGTAAGGACTACTGCTCTGATTCTTAAGAGTATACATGAGTGAACCCTTAGTAATCTAAGAGTGAGTACTTGAATATATGAAGCAAGTAAAGGCATTAACTATTAGACTTAATAAAGTGTTTAGTTATGGTTGTTTGTTGACACGCAAAACTGGAATCTTTCTTAAATATTTAGACATATTTTTAAAAAGTGTGATTCTTAGGATTTTATCCTGGAGCATTCACGAATGAAAATTTTGGAACACATCGCTAGGAATCATGAAAAAAGAAACACACCTGGGATTAGATAGATAATATAATACAGTAAGAAAACTAAATATTGGAAGGAGGAATTAGAAGATTTTTTTTGTGTGAATTCATGTCAGATGACATACATTCAGATGAATAACTTGCAAATTATCTGTTTAAAAAAAAACCAACAAAACAAAATCCAGCGTGTGCTTTAACAGCAATGCTAGGTGCAACAGCACCTGCAAGTAATTGAAGTCTAGCCCAGAGCTCCCATACAGCTACCAAGTAGCCACATTTTTTTCCTGTATCCTCTCCTACTGCCGTTATTTCTTTAAAACAATTTTGTATATGTTGTGGATTATGCACATTAAACTCTTGCCATCCATTTATAAACTAATTGCAAATGGTGCAATTAGTTCATTTTTATCCTCTAAATTTTAATAAATGAGTGATCTGTCTCTGCAGATTCAGAAAACTAGCAGTATTTCAGAAGTTCTGAGGGATTCTCTGTCTTGCCTTTTATTGTGAATTGTATAATCCATTAATTCTGACAGATGAAGAGGGTAGCAGTGGAGGAGTGGGTATACAGTAAGCTTATCATTAACTCTAGTGACCGTTTTAAAATATCGCTTAGTATGCAAGTGGAAATAAGCTGGTTGGCCTTATCCTAGCTCCTGTTGGGAAAATCACTACCCGCTGTTGTATAACTGCCAATCTCTGTTCAACAGAGATGCAGGCCTCAAATAATTACATGGTGCTCTTACTTCGGCACGATGGAATCTCACAATATTTCCAATATACTCCATCCTCGTGCTCTGCAATGTAGCACCATGGGCTGACATCGCCATCAGGATTCCTGAGAGAGGAAAAATAGAGTGAGTAAAAAGACATCATATATTTTCAAAGACCATACAAAAGTTAATCTTACATTTCGGCACTCTTTTTGCTTTAATTCCTATTGCATATTTAAATAATTGGGCTTATATACCAAGAATAATGCAGAAGTGGACAGGAAGTTCAGATAACTTTGGTTATTATAGTACACAGCAAGCACAAAAGGTTAGTAAAGTCTAAAATATAACCTTTTTTTCCCTTCTGAACTCCCTTTTTTCCCTTCTAACTCTAAAAGGTGCAGAGCTATTTTTGGATGGTGCTGAGAGAGAGGAGGATTTTCAGCAGCATTTGCTGTGTGCAGGTTCCTTAGACTCCTAAAACTGATTCCTGCCTTGGTACAAAATATATTGTCCAGCCTCCAGCTTGCTGTGAAAAGTGACAAAACCATATATAAAGTTTTGGGGAAGACGGAGATCTTTTCTTCACCCTCAGCAAGGCTGAACCAATCTGTTTCAGTGAGCTGATACATTGGATGGGTGAGATAATTCATTATCTGTCCATGATTATTCATTGCTGTTGTGTAGCATATTTTACAAATGCACTCATTATTCATTAGGTTATTTAAAGTTTTTGTCTATGTACACCTTTAAAAACTATTTACATCTGAAAGACCAGTTTAACAGCGTAAATTGTTACTTTGGATAGTTAGGTGGAACTACGACCTTTTTCCAGCAACAATCATTTTATCATGTATTTTGGCACAATTGGTATAAATGAGGCCCCCGCCCTTCCCACTGAAGTGTCACTTTGGCTACATGTTGTCATTGGGGTATGTTAACAAACTTTGTGCGAGGTCCGATTTTAGACCTGCAAGTGATATTTTTGGTCAAACAATGGAATGCTGGAGACAACTGGGGAATTGAGTTCAGTTGATTAAAGTGGCAAAGCTGCTGCTAGTTAGGCTTTCAAACGCACTGGTAAAAGTATTGGAAGAGGAAAGCCCAAGACTGGTGTACTAAGTATTTAGGTATAACATCAGAGGTTCCAGTAGTTAAAGAAGGTAGAAATATAAAATCAGCCCATGGAAGATGTTCATCAGTGTAGCCGGGGGGGGGGAGTCTGTACTGGGAGTAGCACAATTCTCCTCACTTTCACAGTTACAGGAAATTTTGCTTTTACACCTGCATAAGAGAAACCTGATGATGTAATTAAATCACAGTAATGGCATTTCACATATAAACGTCTTTAAATGCCAGGAAATTTCAGAGAAATGTGATTAACATCATTAGAAGTCTTTGCCTTAGACTTCAAAATTGCACACAGTTAGAAAACAACTGAGCCTGTTTCAAAATCTCCAAAATCTTCAGTCTACATACTTCTGTCATGGCTGAAATGAGGTTTAGCAGAACATTATAACACATTTCCATCTTAACAAGAGAGAGATGTGGAGAGACAGCATTCTTCTGATAAATGCTGTGAAGGATAAAATTAGATTATTCAAATATTGTCCCTAAAATTGAGCCTCAAAGTAAAGTATCACATCTTAAGTCTTGTGAGACATATGTTGCCACTGAAAAGGGAAGATCTTGTCCGTTGTCAAGCAGCAAATGATTGGCAGAGAAAGAGTTAAAACAGTGGTATTTTTGACTCACAAGTCTTAGACACTCTTTGCATGCTAAAGATATGCTGTGACACTGTTAAAACAGTGACTTCCAAAACTGTTTTTCAACAGAATATGAACTTAGAAAGCATCCATCACTTAGGATAATCCTTCCATACACTTGTGAGAATATGCCTGAGCCAGGTGATATAACAAGAAGAGGGAAATGGTCAACCTTTCAATCAAACTCCATCTTGAAGAAGGAAATTAACCTAGTAGAATGAGATTTAAAAACTATCTGACAATGCAGTCATTGCTCAGAATTAAATACCAGTTTATAGGCTTTTTGCTCCATGTAACACTTAGCAAATTCTCATTTGCTAAGATGAGATTCTAATAAGGATTGGTTGAATACCTGGATTATTAGTGTTCAGGTTGTTCTGTACATTCTGTCTCCAACAAGATCTGTGACATGTTCACAGCATGTATGTGTTTTGCTTTGTACTAGCCTAAGTATTAGCTAGAGACAACTGCCAAAGTTAAGACTCTGTAGATTGTCTATCTAGGATACTGCCACACAGCAACAATCAAAATTATTTTCTTGATTCTGGTATTTGTGTCACAGCTTATTCAGTGGCCTCTAGCCTTTCTATAGCTCTGCATTAGCACAGTTCCTGAGACACATCTCTCTATGCGTCATGAGACTGTTATGCTTTTGGGCTTTGTTGGGCTGAGGCCGGGGGGCTGTAAGGATGACGTTAAATGTTTTCAGTGAAAGCAATCCTTCCTGTGCTCGCATACCGCTCTGAGATTAGACAGCTTGATAGGTTTAGCTGGTTTCCAGGATGTTTTCAAAAAAGAATGCCCAACTTTATGAAGTTTCTCTTTTAAGTAAGTGTGGTATTTTTCTTTGTTCTGGCAAGATACTGAAGCGATTCAAAAGCAAGTCAATTCAGAACTTAACAATGTTGCTTTCTCCTTCTATAACTGAAAACACAGTCGAGTGCGTTAGCTATTGTCTTAGCTGACTTGCTCTATCCCTGCCATATTTTCTTGAAAAACTAGTTCTGATGAAATATAGAGAAGTTCTTCAATCAAGAACCCGGACCCTTACGTCTATGACATAGCAATTAGGCTGAACTCCTGCATATTCATTTTGTCTCATTCATCCTGATTTATGTTACTTACAGTGAAATGATTTCAACATGAAGGCTTAGGCTGTAGCCCCAGAAAAGCCTATAACCTGCTAATTAACGGTATCTTCCAGGAGAATGGAGGAGTGGTTTGAACCTGCTCATGAATGAGACACTAGAGCTTTTCTTGCCATGCCCCAGGTAAATGTTTTGATTCTTATTCTCTTGGTTTAAACAGCCCTGTCCTCATTACCTACAGAGTAAGAAACACCACTGGACTTCACATACATCCCACATGAGTAGATGATTATCACTGTTTAAAGAATATATCTATCAGGTTCTTCCCAGCCTACTTCAATGGCAAGTATAAGTGTGAGCAAAAACTGAGCAAATACTCAGCTGGGCAAAAGCAGAAGTGCTTTTTTGGGCATGCACAACGTCAGATGTTGCGGGAACATCAAGGCTGAATGCTGAAGAGCGTGCAGAGTTTCAGTATCTCTAAACGTAGGTGGCATTCAAACTGGGCTTTTCAGAGTTGCAGATTTTTCTTTGACCCTCTAAATTCTGTTAAATTCCTTGTTTAGGCTTCTATTCTGAGTTACTGTCCATAGTTATGGAGGAAGTTCCTACAAGTTAAGGAAATGTAGATATGCAGTGGCTTGAACTGGCATTACCACTGACCCTTGAGCTTCTGAAATCTGCTAACTACTCTAAGTTGCTGAACAGCTTGTGTTCAGCACAGAATTTTTAGTGGCTGTTTAACTTTCACAAACACAAAGTTCTGAGACACAGTGTATAATAGAACCAGGCTTTCAGGGGAGGCTAAAAACCATAATGGTCCAGATGTTCCTACAGACATTTACTAGTGTTTTTTTGCTTCTGACTTGAAGCAGGTTTGCTTGTTTCTTTTTGAAAATAATTTTAACCCTTTTTATTTAAAAGTAATGTCTAATCTTTCTCTGTTATACTAGATTACAGATTGGTTATAAGACATGCATGTTGGATGAGAGCTGGGTTGAGAAAAGGTACTATACTAATAGTGCTTGTGTGTTGAACCAAAGATCCAGGGTACTGATTACAAGATATAACAATGCCTGTTAGATATCCATGTCTCTGACATTCTTCGCTGTATTATGGGAAGTTCCCCAATTTTGTGTCAACTGTTTAAAGTAACACTGGGTATTCAGGCAATGTTAGTAGCAATGAGACAGTCCTTACCTGCAGTAGTTATGCTCTCCAAGCCCTCCCTCCCCATTGGGATATTTCAAAGTATTATAAGGATGCTCAAAGGTCTCATTCCAAAAAAGACAAGGTTTCCCTGCATACTGGGCGGTCTGGTTCTGAGTGCCACGATAGTCAGCCCCATTTGCTGTATAACATTCTGGGAAGAAATGGAAATGGAAAAAAGAAGGAGAGAGAGAGAGAGAGAGAGAATGTATGTAGGTTTGGTGTTTGGTTGGCCCCCCCACTCTCCCACACCCAAGAGTCTAGTTTCCTTTCACTAAAATGCTTTCTGCATTGTTTAGGCCATTAAAGTTGCTTTCTGGAATTTAGGTGTTCTCTCAGACTCAAACATCTCTTGAAGAGATTACTGATTTCATTATTTTTACTAAACATTGTACAAGACAGTTATCAAATAGGTCTGAAGAGTGATTAATAAAATTAAAATACATTTCCTGAATGAGCAAACTACATTTTGTACTGTGTTTTACCAGTTAGGCTGAATCTGTAAATTGCAAATTTTCCATAAACAAGATTAGGTGATGTTATCAGCCCACCATTTATCAGCACATTACTGAATTGTCATGCTAGTCTAAATACACTTGTGATCCTCTGTACTTTATAAAGTGCAAGATTTTGTAGGCATGGATCTGGCAAACCTTTATATTGTGATTTAGAAAAATACTTACGTATGTAAGGGATTTTCTTCTCTGGCCTGAACTGCTTAACAAAGGGATTTCCTTATATAGAATATATAATCATGGTACTGTGATTTGTCATTACAGCATTTATTTTGTGGAAATTAAAGCTTACAAGTCAGTATTTTTCTATGTCATTCATATATTTTCTCCCATTTACGTCTGTTTCCCTAACTTCCTAATACTCCGTAAATTGGAAATTAAAGCAAACCTTATGATTTCTCTAGTCATTAAATACACTATCCTATTTCTCAGCTGAACTACAGCTCTCATGCTGCCTGGTTTTGCCGTCTCTTATTAATGTCATTTTCTGATCAAATAAATATTCATATACAAGCATGATTTTGCCATCT